TATTTTGTTTTCAAAGTTTTGTTTTGCACTCCGAAATCAAACAAATGTGAATGAATGTATGAAAATCTGCTTAAGGCCAATGCACGTCTTAAAATTTGGAGTCGACGTTAACCGTTCGCTTCATATTGTATCAAACACACCACAAAGCTTAACTAGACTACGCCGGTCTACTTTTCAATGCAATTACATTTTGAGAAAGTCCACACCTAAATCTTGTATCGGTATTGTTATTTAACATCAGCGCAGTATTTAAATCCATTTCCTAACACGTCTATTAGATAGCTCAAAAAAGTTTGCCTTGTAACAGGTCACTTAGGGATTTGCCCGAAGAGTTGATTTAAATGTTATTTGGCGTGCAAAGAGTGTGACATTCTTAACAAGCGGACCATAGTTAACGCCACCGGCATGCAGACTGCAAATGACTGTATTCATACAATCCGCACTGTCAAGCATGAGTTTTCATCTCGAACGGGAGAAGTCCAGCGATAAACATATTACTCTACTGCACTTTGGGGTTGTTTTATACGGTATACGGTTTTGGTTTTGCTCATTGTTAAGACCGTATGGTGATCTATAATTGCTTACATCTATGTAAGTTAAGGCCCATCGAATATGAAAATCTAACAAGTTTTATTAAACCTTTTTGATAAAGTCTGTCATATATTTACAGGGCAATATTCTGTCAGATATTCGTATCTCGTTTCATTTTTATTCTGTCTTACACTTTTGCCACATGCATTTACACGTCTTGTATTTAAAAGAAAATACATAGAATTTCTCTAATTCTTTGGCAATTTAACCCTTTCTGGACACATTGTTTAAAAATAATTAATCAACATGTGGTTGTAAATTATTTCTATAGAAGATTGGCTGAGTTATCATAGCCGTTATCAGCTTACTGAATTAATCGAAATGTGCTGACAGCTGTTAGAGAAATTGACAACTTTGTGGAATGTGGAAGGCACCCGAAGGTTTTTTTTTCGTTTAACTAAAATGAAAATGTATTTGACAATCATAAGTGAAACAGATTATTACACAGTAACTTGTGGATATCGGATTTTTCCAATCTCGATAGTAAGATTATCGAAATTTAATTCAACTATTTCGATTGGATAAATCCAAAAATCCACTGGTACCAATGTAAGAATTTATATATAACCTTCAGCCCTAGCAAGCCAATAATAAACTAGAATCATATTCACGCTATAATAACACATCGAAAGATTCCGGATTGATAGACATATCCGTACAGATTATAAAAGAATAAGCATGAAAAGTTAAAGAATAATAATAATTGTTTGTCATTCCCGGGGCCTTTTATTATAGTTAACTATGCGGTATATGAATTTTGATTATTGTTGTAGGATGCACATCTGTTATTATTGACATTTTTTCCCTTGGCATTACTGGATACTTGTTTCAGTAATAGTTATCCCATGAGGACGCGGTGTGTCAGTGTAAGATCATCACAATGGCCGGAGGCCAGAGGGTGATCTTACACTGACACACCAAGTTCGAATGGGATAACTATTTTACATCCCAGCTGTTCTAGATTAGTTAAAAAACCATTTACGCTTCATAAAATCTAGTTTAGAACGCCACACAATCAAAATAATATACTTTATATATTACTATGTAGTATATACCTTTTATGAACCCCGGACACAATGTTTGAATATGTTAAATTAACACAAACTTGTATCCAGTCGTCCTGCTGTAGGGGTATGACTCGTGGTCTATATGTAAAGATAAAAAAAAAAAGACTAGTGGTCTATATGCTAAAGGTCATGAGTTCGATTCCTAGCATAAACACTGTTTTTTGTTTTTAGCATAAATTTTGATAGTTAGTCTTTTCCGTATAAATATTTCTAAGTTTTATTGTGGATTTGACATTCCCGCCAAAATGTTACAGAACAAAGGAAAGCATGCAGAACAAAGAAACTCAAGCCAGGGTGATCTGGTAGGGGTGACCTGATCCAGATTACCCCTGGTAGAACAAAGGAGGTGGAATGTAATTGGCTATTAAATTACAAATCCAAATGTTTATAAAGGAGATTTGTATTTTCATCAAATGAGCTCGCAAGGACCATAGTACAGTATCGACATTATTTACGATTAAAAAAGTGCAAAGTATAAACTTTTTGAAAACACATAGCAACTCTCTCTCAATATATTGATTATTATTAGATTAGAATACCTCCATTCCAAGCACATCTCAAATCTAAACACATCTATCAGTTATATGTTTACTTAGATTGTAACGTGTTCCTGTATATTTTTTCTTCCCGTCTTGGAATAAATGGCAGATTTTCCTGTTTGATTTTAAATTACTTTTTCGTAGATGGAAACAACAGGAAGTTGGGTGAACATGTTTGATAATATGACATCGACGCAAAATAGTGGATCATACAATGTCACAGCAGATTTAATGGCGACAGAAGATGGCGATCCGACTAAAAGATTCATAAAAAAGACATCAGACATACTAATGATTGTCATTTTAGCCGTAATATTGATGTCGCTCGGTTGTACCATAGAAACTACAAAACTACTGCAGCAGATAAAGAAACCAGTTCCTGTCATTATTGGAATGGTATTGCAATTTATAGTATATCCGTTAACGGCATTTGGATTTGCACATGCGTTTCAATTGAATAAGTATGATGCACTAGGATTACTTATTCTAGCAACCTGTCCCGGAGGAAGTTTATCTAATTTGATTACTTTCTATTCATCCGGAGATGTGTGTTTGAGGTAATATTTTATGTATTTATATCAATATAAATCATTTGAGTGTATAAAGAAAACACAAGTATTATAATGAATTCAATAATCTTCGGGTTTCTTTAAAAAAAGAGACGAAACCAAGGGACAATTAAAAATCACGTTCCATAAGAAAATCGACGAAAAGAAAAAACATCAATAACAAACATAGAAAACTAAAAATTGAGCAGCACTTAAAAAATCTGGGGGTGAACGCAGGTGCCCTGGAAGGTCAGTTCCTGCTCCGGATGTAGCACCCGTTGTGTTGTTCATGCAAATAAAAACATTTCGTTTACAGTCACCATCACGAATTGGTTGACTGATACGATGTATCGGTGTCTCCAGTATCAGATCACTGGACACCAGTAAAGTCGTCTTATCTGTAATTTTGCCATTTTTGTTTTCGCATGGTGGGTGACGCTATAGCAAGAGACGGTTACCTTGTCGACGCACCAGGTCTCGGTCCTATAAGAGTTCATGCGATTCACTCAGTCTTTGTTTGTTACCTTGATTTGTGACTGCCTAATTGATTTAAAAGATTTGAACATCGACAAACTACTGTCACCTTCATTTACTACCATTCAATGTAATCGGAAAAACTGTTAAACTTTCAGTACACCCATTACTGATACCTATTTTGAAAGTAACTTGACTATCATCACAGATGTCAACAAATTAAAATTATTCAAAATCTATGGTCGACACAATAGGATTCACGGTTATCGAACATATACAAAACCTTCAGTTCACACCGTGTCTATAGATGGTTTGTTATCCTCTGTTCATAAACCTTTGGGAATTCACTATATTCAAACTAAGCTCTTTTCACACCTTTATCAAAGCTCAATTCACTTTTTCAAGAGGCCCAAAACACTCCCACAGTTTTCCACCAAAAATCTGTGCAGAAAACAATACATGATTACCTCAAATGTATAACTACAACTATCATTTCATATACCTTCAACAAACCTATTGCTTTTAACATTTTCCACAACAAGAGGGTATTAGAGACATTTACTCTGAGGGATGTAAAATCAATCCTCCCAATTGATCTTGTTCATCGTCCCCCTTCAAATATAGTCCCGCTGGTCGTATTATAACTGCAGACATCGTGGCATCTTAAACAATGAACAACTTAGCCAACGGCCTGAAATATGGACTTCCCGAGCCCATCAATTGGAACAAGAACTTCAGGTTACTGGTTGATGCAGTTGAGGACTATGGTAGAAAATGATTAAAGCGCAAACCAGATGAACCAAAACCTGACACTTTATCTCAATGCATCTGTGCGGTCATTCATTTAGAAGTGCATTCAAAATCTACGATGTACTATGAGCCTATGGTATTTTTACTATTTCAAGAAGCCCAAGAATGTGGATGCTTTATCCTTTCTTTTTAGAAAAATGTTGTTCAAGCAGACAAAATTGTTGCTGTGTAAACTGACAAAACCTCGATCAATATTGTTTTTATATGCAAAATACATTATTTAGAATGTCTCATTAACGAAAATGGAATTCACAGCAGAACTTGGAATCCAAATATGTAATAAAAAGAATAACGTAGCGCATGAGTTAATTATTAGTGTTGTTCGGTCACGAGTTGAATATTTTTCGATATTTGAATTCTTTGATTAGTTATTCTTTTTTATTACATTGATAATGGGCTTTTTAATGGAAATAAAGTAGAAAATGTAAGGAACTATATCTTTTTCTACGCATTCACAATTTGTTTTGATGCAACGTCGTCGACAACGTCTTGACAACGCCTATTGTTGTTTGACGTCAGATGAGTGAAATAACCGAGTTTATTTCACATGTGAAATTATCGGTTTTTATTTCACAGGGAAACCACGATAATTCATTGCAAGCAATGTAATAAAACTGCTTATATTAGAGAAGTATATGCAATTTCAAGAAGCAGTTATGTTTTGGAACTGGAAGTTTATGAGGTTCGAGGTTCCACTTGTTGACAATGATACAAAATGGACCTTCCGTGCATACGACTCCACATGATGTATCACAGGTTTCATATTCATTTGAAACATGACATTGAAGTACAACAACTTATAAATAATGATAGTATGATCGTGAGTAGCCACACGTGAAGGGGATTCTCCATACACCAGTTAAGTATTTTTATTATTATCCTTTTTTTATTATTAAATGTTACATGTATAAATATTATGATTATGATTATGCAAAAAGAATAAATCAGTCATTATTTCCATCTAATTTCAGCGTTTGCATGACAACAGTTGCCACAACGGTTGCAATAGGAATGATGCCATTGAACTTGTGGGTGTATTCCCGTAGTTTCATTACATCGACGCTTACTGTGCCATACGTCATCATAGTCATCTCCTTGGTTACGATACTTGTTCCTGTAGCTATTGGAATGGTTATATTGAAGAAGCTACCAAAGCTCGCGACATATATTTTGAAGGTATTCTTTTATTTTAATGTGTACCAAACAAGAATCCTTAAGTTAATTGTTATGCTTACTGAGGCACGATAGAAAGGTCATGTGACCAACTAATTCCTTCAATTATTTATCAACAAAATGTACCATTCAGATAGGTTTGAAAAATTGTAAAAAAAATAATAACTTGAGAGGCAAAATAACTATAAAAGTTAATCAAACCCAGAAGTCGAAAAAAAACTGACAACTCCTTGGCAAAGAGAGGCGAAAGATACCAAAAGGGAATTCAAACTCACAAGTCGGAAATAAACTGACAACGCCTTGGCAAAAAGAGGCGAAAGATACCAAAGGGACATTCAAACTCACAGTGCGGAAAATAGACTGACATCGACATGGCAAAGAGAGGCGAAAAATACCAAAGGGACATTTAAACTCACAAGTCGGAAAATAGACTGACAACGCCATGGCAAAGAGAGGCGAAAGTTACCAAAGGGTCATTCAAACTCAGAAGTCGGAAAATAGACTGACAACGCCATGGCAAAAAGAGGCGAAAGATACCAAAGGGACATTCAAACTCACAAGTCGAAAAAAGACTGACAACGCCATGGCAAAGAGAGGCGAAGGATACCAAAGGGACATTCAAACTCATAAGTCCAAAATAAACTGACAACGCATGGCAAAAAAAAGAAAAGACCAAAAGACAAACAAAAGTATACAAAACACAACATAGAAAACTAAAGACTGAGCAAAACGAGTCCCACCAACATCCGGGTGGATGCCAGTTGCTCTGGAAGGGTAAGTAGATCCTGATCCACATGTGGCATCCGTCGTAGCTCTTAATAACTCTTTATTATTGTTATTATTTTTTAGGCTGGAGGAGTGCTTGGAATGCTTTTCATTGTAATAGTACTTGCCATAAATATGTATCTGTATCCCGGATTGTTCAGTTCAGATTGGAAAATGATTCTTTTAGCAATTGTTCTACCGTGGTTTGGACTTTCTGTCGGATATGCAGGTTCCAGAATTGCATGTCTTTCTCACAAACAATGTCGAACCATCGGCATCGAGGTATCATCGCAGAATGTTGCCCTGTCAACGACTTTAATATATTTATCCTTTGAAACGGATGATGCAACAAAAATAGTTGTCTTTTCTTTGATCTTTGGAGTATTCTCAGTTACTTCGCTTACAATATTCACTCTTCTCTACAGAATATACATTAACTGTGTCACAAGAAAGAAGAAATCGTTGAATGAAAACGAATCAAAGGAAAAGAAGGAAAATATTTACCAAATTTCCATAACAATTGCTTCTCAAGATTGAAATGGGAATTAATATGGTGTATCAGACATTTTGTATATCTTATTTTGAAAATTTACTTTTCTATTTATCATCGTCATAAATGTGTACAGCCTATTTTATGTCGACATCTTTCAGTGTAAAATATAGCTTGCATAAATAAGATGTGGTAAAAATTTCAAAGAGACAATTGTCCGCCAGACACCAACGGACGAGGATGTATACAACGTTTTGATTCTATTCTGTAGCTACAAGACATCTATTCTTGCATTAAAATATTTTATCTTGGTGAATTTTCTTTTTTTGTTTGTTTTACATTTCTTGACATTCCAAGATGCATTGGTGTTCATCCCCTGTTTCTGAAATGTCACTTATTTCACATTAACAATCTTGTCAGTAATGATCCTTCAAATACGTTTTATCGGCAATGAGTGATTTGAGATTTTATAACATTTTTGAGTTATATTATATCACAATCTCCAACTATATAAAAAAAGCCTTTAGAGACCACGTATTTTTAAAAATACAATTGTTTTTACATTTTTATATACGTCGTTCTAGAGTCAAGCATAATGTTTACATCGTGCGCTTGTCTTTACTACCTTGCATTACATTATACTTGGACCTTTTTATAAAACCATTATAGATTTTCATTCTTTGACATTTCAAACTAAGAAAGTCGTGATCCAAAATTAAATTAATCTGTGCAATTTTTATTTTCCAAATGCTTTATTTCAGGAAATAAATTAAAATTTGTAATCAATAAAAGAAAGCTTTCTACTTAACGAGTTAAAATCTGAGAGCTAGATTACGGAACTGACTTAAATTTCGCTATTCGTGCGGGTGCACTCGACTCCAATCTTCATTGACTAGGATTGTCAGTTTTCCTATCGAAGGTCGGTGGTTTTCTCCGGGCACAAACGGCTTCCCCCACCAATAAAAACTGGCCGCCACGAAATAGCATAAAAGCGGTGCTTTCAATTGGCGTTAAAACTCCAAAAATTCAAAAAAAATCGAAATCAATTTCGCTATAATTCAATAGTAAGTTCTTTATTTAGCATATTCAGGACAAAAGAAATAAACACATAACAATTTAAGGCAGGTTCTGAAAAGTGGGTTGACCATGCAGATAGTGGAGAAAATTTGACAAACTTTAGCATGGCTTTTTTGATGCCTGATGAATGAATTTCTGCTGATCCGTCACCCTTTGGAAGACAAATTCCATGAAACATTGCCAGCATGTTATATTTGATGATCGGTGATGTTATTTCTATCGTGAAATATATGAAAAAGTTGATTCAAAGATTTAAATAACAGTGGACTGTAACATGATTCTTTGTTTTACATCTTCAACGACAGAAAGACCAATTGTTTAATGACTTTCCCGCAGTATTTCTTTTTATTTTCCAGTATGGATTTTGCTCATTGTTGAAGGCTGTACGGTGACCTATAGTTATTAACTTCTATGTCATTTGGTCTCTGGTAGAGGGTTGTCTCAATGGCAATCATACCACATCTTCTTATTTTTATGAGTATAACAATCTAAAGAAAACCGTTCAACCAATGCTTTTTAAATTATGATATGTTGCTACTTATGCACAGATGTAGGTAAAATGTCGATATAGACGATTTTCAATGTTATGGTCCCTGATTAATATGCAAGGTGCGCTTTATGTTTTTTCCGTGCAATAACTTGAAAGCTCTCCAACCAAGGTTTTTGTAATATAGATATTTTTTTACTGCTAAGAAAATGAAGGTCAAGATTGATATTGACAATTTTCACCTTTGTCGTTCAGGATTTATGAATATATAATAACTTGAGAACGCTTAATATAATCTAAAAAAATTTGTTTGAATTTTTCATGTTTTTTACTTAAATGTAGTGTTACTATGTAATTTTAGATCTTTGATTGATTTTTTTCAAAACTGTTACAGATTCATAGATGCTTGTTTCTATTTAAAGACTTTATATTCAATCAAATGTCTGTTGTTATTTGTGTCATTCTCGATAGTCGATGTTTAAAAAAGGTGATAAATTATTGTGTGTTTCAAACTTAACTTTCACAGATTTTCAAATGCAGTGCGTCCAACCATCCAGGTATAGCAAACCGTCTTAATCCATCTTTCAAGTTTATAAGCTTATTATCGTTGATATACAATATAAGATCAATGTCGGAAAATTATCAACTTTTTTGTATAAGGCTTAGAAAAAGGGCGAGGTTTACTGAGCCCTTCAACTGTTTCGTGCCGAATACAAAAAAGTTGATATTTTCTGACACTGACCTAATATTGATTTTATACCGCAACTGAATGACTACAAGTATCGTTATGAAAATGTTTACACAAAAAATAAACGTTTTTCCATTCATAAAAACACACCAAATTGTGAAGAAAAGTAACGTGACATGAAATCGACATTGCACGATCAATTTGTTACTATAATTGGTAGATAAAGACAACAGGAAGTGTTCTAGCTGCAGTATACATGAGATTTCATATGCACAGTCAGATAGATAAGTAATAGTTATACACCGAGGGATAGGTGTGTCTGGATAAGAAATCCCGTCGGCCGGAGGCCGGAGGGGTTTCTTATCCAGACACGCCGTATCCCGAGGTGTATAACTAGCTTACACCCTATTCTAAACCCTATATTTGTTAACATTGATTATTAAATGAAAAAAAAAAACGATAGCAAACAATGATTTATAAAAATATTTTTTTTATTACATGAACCCCACTAGTAACCCTTTTTTGGTTATCTTCGTTCAAACTTTGACAAGCGAGTGTATTTTACAAATGTCAAAGTTGTTTTGCATATTCCCGTTAAATCTATGTGCTAATATGGATCAGGAGGTCAAGGTTGACGTGTTTCGTGTATTCTTATTACAAACAAAAAATACATCATGCTCCTGGTATACAGTTGTCAATATGGACGGGTATAAGACGGACGACCTTTTGTGGCAAGCGTTGGATTTGGTAGAAGAGACTAAAGATAAAGGCAATATTATAACCCAAAGTACTTACCTGTATCAGTTTAATAAAGGTAATCATAACTGTATTTTATATCTTACGATTTTATCAAAAACAACCCCTCACTCTCTTCTCGAGAATAAACAAACATTCATATTCGAACATACTAAGGGATATGTGTGTCTGCATTAAAAACCCGACTACCAGACACGCTCAACATACAATATTTAATACAGAGGAACTCCCTTTTTGGGGACAATCAGGGGCTGATCCCGGGGGTTCCCAACTAAAAAGAAAAAGGGGGGTCCAACCATTCAAATGCATTGATCTTTTCAATACAAGTCGTGTCCAACCCCGTATCGGCCACTGGACAAACGGAAAGGGGGGGGGGGGGGGGTCCGGTAGTTAGAATCCCCATTTTTTTTACAGATCAATGCTTTAGAATAGAGACACATGACTGTGATAAAAAAAATTACCTTCAAGCAAAAGAGAATTTTAATAAAGGATTATTTTTGTATTACATACAGATGCCTATTGGAATTTCCTAAAATGTGTTTTTAATATCATGAAACAATTTGTATTGAACGCTATTAGTAATGTCTTATATTCATGCTATTTTAAAAATAATCAATTTCTATTGTTACGAATAACAATGGACTTTGTTTGCGGGATGTAGAAGCAGGGGTTTCCAGAAACCCCGCTCGTCACACCCTGTGGTCAAAATCCATTGTTATTCGTAACAATAGATCTATTCAATTTACACATGTTTCTGAAATAGAAACTATGAAGTATAACAATAGAACTGGGGTGTAATTGAAATGACAGCGTTCATTCTTGATTCTCGTGAGCCTTTACACTAGTGCCGAGAATAACCAAGTTCTTTACTACTAGTATGATCAAGACATTCCGTCATTTTATCTTAAACAGTTACAATGATGATTATTATCAATGACATAAACGACAGTGACCCTTTTCTTTTTAACATCCCGACATATAACTTTGTTTAATTGTCAGAAGGACCATCAATTGGAACCAAAATAAGAATACAGGCAAATGGCACGATAGACACAGATACCTGCCATGTCTATGATCTAAACATATTTCTGGATGGAATAACAGGGTTGAAACTTGTACCGAAATAAGTCTTAGACAGTGAGCACAAACTGGATGACATCTAACACTTGTCGTTAAAACTGGTAGTTCGTCTTCTGAATAATAAATTTACGTCAAAATTAGTGATATCAATGATGGTCCTATGAAAAAAGTAAAATAAAAAAAATACCGGACTCCAAGGAAAATTCAAAACGGATAGTCCCTTATCAAATGGCAAAATTAAAAGCTCAAACAAATCAAACGAATGGAAAACAATAGTATGAAATCACTATGACAGAGATACTATTGTAAACGCTAAGATTGCCACCATTGCAGCCGAAGATCAGACTTGGAGGCGAACGATAGGAAGACATTTAAGTTCACATCCCATCAGTGTAACATGATTCTCGATCCGTTTGCAATACACAGTTAAACTGGAGAGTTGCCGTTCATCGTTGAGGCAGAACAAAAAATAGTTGAGGGCAGTGATAAAAGAAATCGACCTTTCAAAACACGAACTAATGCGATTATCTATTTAGATACTTAAATGTGGTGTTACTATTTAATTTTAGATCTTTGATTGGTTTTTTTTTCAAAACTGTTACAGATTCATAGATGCTTGTTTCTATTTAAAGACTTTATATTGAATCAAATGTCTGTGGTTATTTGTGTCATTCTCGATAGTCGATGTTTAAAAAAGGTGATAAATTATTGTGTGTTTCTAACTTAACTTTAAAGATTTTCAAATGCAGTGCGTCCAACCATCCAGATATAGCAAACCGTCTTTATCCATCCTTCAAGTTTATAAGCTTATTATCGTTGATATACAATATAAGATCAATGTCGGAAAATTATCAACTTTTTTGTATAAGGCTTAGAAACTTGAGAAGGGCGAGGTTTACTGAGCCCTTCAACTGTTTCGTGCCGAATACAAAAAAGTTGATATTTTCTGACACTGACCTAATATTGATTTTATACCGCAACTGAAAATGACTACAAGTATCGTTATGAAAATGTTAACACAAAAATTAAACGTATTTCCATTCATAAAAACACACCAAATTGTGAAGAAAAGTAACGTGACATGAAATCGACATTGCACGATCAACTTGTTACTATAGTTGGTTGATAAAGACAACAGGAAGTGTTCTAGCTGCAGTATACATGAGATTTCACATGCACAGTCAGATAGATAATTGAAATGACAGCGTTCATTCTTGATTCTCGTGAGCCTTTACACTAGTGCCGAGAATAACCAAGTTCTTTACTACTAGTATGATCAAGACATTCCGTCATCATACATCAGAATACAACGTTAAAAAATTTGGTAAGGCCAGATTTATTTGAGAATTTTCATTAAACTTTGAAG